CAGGAATGCACTAATGAAATCTGCTGACCCCAGCTGCCAATAGGGAGGATGACTGGGATATCACACAGAAAGATTCACTGACCTTGGGGTCCAGAGTAATGGAAATGGAAGGAAATTTAATAATACAGAGTACAAGGTTATGACCTGAAGGGCCAGTAACAAGAATTTTTGCTACAAATGAGGAGTGCTTAAGCTGGAAACAGTCAAGGAAAACAAAAGAACTTGAGCAGAACATGGGATGAATATGAGCAATGAGTGTGGGAGAGCCTTCAAGGAAGGCAAATATGATCACAGAGTGGGCACTACTCCCAGAAGCTGCTGCTGTTTCACTCTGGCCACCACAACTTACTTCATTTCTCCCTGGTACAGCCTGTGTTGAGAGCAGGGCTCCTACCAAGCACGTGTGCAGGGAGGGACTGCTACACTGAGAAAGCTGCTTCATGTAAGAAAAGGCTGGATGGACCTTTAGAGGGGAGAGAGGTGTTCCCCATAAATATACTGCAGGAATAAGCACTGTGGAAGGAGGGAAGAAAGGCAGAGGGAGCAAGAGCTGGGCTGCTGTTCCAGATGAAGGACTGGCAGAAGAACAACCTATGTCTGTTCTGATTATCAATAAAACACTGGAAACTTTAAAAAGGTCCCTAACCTTTAGTGCAGGGAAATCTGCAGCTGCCTGCCTGCAGAAAGCAGTTGGTTTAAAAGAGTTATACTTGTTTGAAGAGATATGCCAACATCCTTCCAAGCAGGCCTTGGTAACATCACAGGGTAAGGGGCTGGAGTCAAGTGACCCAGAAAATCCCCTGGTTTTGACTCTCTGGATTTGCCACACGTGTAAGCATTTGGCTGAACAGCTCACAGGGTGAAGGAAGAACAAGGAGAGGTTTTGTCTTTTAAAGAAAGACAAGCACCAGCTCCAATCTTTCAGTCATGAGAGGAAGACAGAGCCCAGCTCAGTGCTGAGCAAGCTGTGCCTGTGGGTGGTGTTTCTCATTTGCCTTGCCTCTCTATCTAGGAAGTGGAGTCAGATGCAAACACCTCAGTCAGCAGGGCATAAAGTCCCTTGAGAGCTTTCCAGTAGTTTGTATTTCTGTAGCTGCATTTAACTGATGTCTCTGTGAGCACAAACAACATTCTTCCCTCTGTTCTCCTCCATCCCTCCCTGTTTTCCCTATTTTATTCCTGGTAGGACAGGAAAAGCAATGGAGCAATGGAAAAATGGTGCCAGCTCCAATTCAGGTTCAGTATTACCAACACAGTAGTTTGTGACAATAAAATACTTCTGCCTGGTGTTACAAGAGAAATGAATGAAAAGGATTCTAACTTTCTTTTCCTTAAATTGTGCCAGCTGCAATTCAGGTTCAGTATTATCAACACAGTAGTTTGTGACAATACTTCTGCCTGGTGTTACAAGAGAAATGAATGAAAAGGATTCTAACTTTCTTTTCCTTAAATTATGCCAGACTTCATTAGCTGGACTAAGCATATGGAGCTTGTTTGACAACTGCTATTCCTCTTACCTTCAGGTATTGAGTGAACAGGATCAGGGTGAGAACACACGACTTGTTCTGTTATTTCATATAAAATTACATTTACAGTATTGCTGAATCACTATCCACTGAACTGTGGTGTGAAATTCCAAACTGTGGAGACAAGCACCCTGAAGGGTGAAGCTCAACTTATGGTGGATTTCCAACTCAGAGCCAGGTGTGGACTCAAAGTCACCTTATCATCCCTAAAGTCAAACCAGGGGGTTGAGGAAACAGTAAACCAGTCAGAAAAACCAACAGAGTATGCTGACTTCAACAGGGGAGGGGATCTGGGGGATAAGTGGAAGAGGAAGAAGGAGGGCTAAGCAGCCCTTCATTTATTTTGCTAAGCTTGAAAATTGATCTGCACTACCAGATTATTTGCCTGGCTGGAGTCCAATTCACTTCAACTTTGAGAGATGAGGCCTTAATTAGTCAACGTTTCAGTGGAAGTAGAGTGCTCATGGCAAGAGGGAAGGTTGCACCTAAAAAGTAAGGAGGAGAGAGATCACTGCAGCTGGGAGAGAGGGATCATCACCTGTGTGCTTGCTGTTGACATGAGCCTTCATATCTGCCTCTTCCATAGTGACAAAATCACACGCCGTGCAGCAAATGGAGAACATCCACTGCTCCTTATCCACGTGGAGGGACATATGACTGACAAACTGGACATTCATCTCCGTCTCAAACCCACACACATGACAGCTGCAGGCAGAAGGGAATTCAAGAGGACGAAGCATTAAAACACAGGCCACAAACAGGAGCATGCTGCCCTGCCCTGCATTTGCAAGGGGAAAAAACAAACCCCTCGTTGCCCAGATTTCTTCTCTTCCTCACTGTTGAAGGCTCACTGCAAACTCCTTTTGTCTGCTGAACTGCCTTTGAACCCATGGGCCACGCCGACGTGATTAAGGGCATGCACAGTGCAACAATCCTGTACATGCCATAACCATGCTAAATAATCATAAAGTTAATTAAAAACTACAGATTCCAGATGCTGCGCATCACCTAGCGGAGTCCTTTGGGCAATGAGAGGCACTGCAGCTTTGCCAAGATGTTTAGTAGGGCTGATGCACTGACAAACTGAGAGCTTGCTGCACACTCCAGGAGTTATTTGCAAGCCCTGGAATGGTTCCCGTGCCAAACTGGGATCTTGTGCAGAAATACCTGGCACTTTCAGGGTAAGCAAGTAAAAATGGGTTCAAACGTTCCTCATGCTTGAGTGGAAAACAGCAGTCATCTGCTATGCAAATAATCAGCAAGGATACAGGTTTCACAGCCAGTGTGTAAAGAGAGAGACATTGAGAGGCAATGGAAAGGACTCTTTAATTTAACTTTCTTTGCAGAGTCCACCTCTTGCTTTGATTAGGCCATTATCATTTAAAACAAGCCCCAAACATTTACACGGGCGTACAGCCTCTAGGGCACTATTTTGCTTTCCCCAGGGGATGGACTAGGTAATGTAATCCAGCAGGTCTCATTTATTTCTTACTTCTCTGATTTTGTAATTAAATCTGCTCTCGGCTCTGTGACTAAAAGCAAGAGTGATTTGCTAATCTGCTTGGCCAACCAGGGCACATCTCACAGCCTGCAGAGTGCACACAACGAGGAGGACATCTAAATAACCATTTTATCTGGGCAAGTCCTTTTAATTTTTCAGGCAAATTCTCCTAAAGGTTGTTTGTCTTTGATCATGTTGGTCACTGAATGTATAGACCTCTAGGAATAGAAATGGAGGAATAGAAATGGAGCAAACGTGTGTATTAAGACAATCCTTATTACACTTTACTATTTGATTTCATAGGGCTGAAAACAACAGGGCTGTCAGAGGCAGAGTGCTTCAGATCTGCCATCAATCTGTGTACAAGCTGGGATGTTTCCAAACACAAAATTTATACAAACACAGCAGAAAAAGTTAAAGAGGCTTCTAAGAGCTCATCTGCCTCAGAGAGTCATGTAAAACCCACCCCAGACCCCACAGCGTTTCCCAGGGGTTGGCCAAGTCAAAGAGGATGAGGCAGATAAAGGCACGAAGAGGCAGATGAGACATCCAGGTTGCAGCCCAAGCCCTTGGCCAGGTCCTCACCTGTAGTAGTAAGGGTGCTTCTTCCCATCACTGCCCTCAGAGGTGACGGCGCTGACGATGGCCTCGGTGTCTGTACTCACCAGCTTCACTGAGTGGACAGTCAGGTGCTGGTTCAGGTTGGCACGGCACTTAGCAGCATAGGGGCACAAGTGGCATTTGTATTTTCTCTCTTCTGAAAAACAACAGGAAGAGGAAAACCTCCATTTATAGTTCTTTTTGAAGCAAGCTGGTTATAAAGCTGCTGATAACCCAGCGTGGATTCCTTTGGGTTTCTCCAAGCAGCTTTCAGGATGAGGGACTTTGGGAAGCTTGACATTTTGGGAACTTTGAGGAGTTCACAGCAATTACTCAGAGAAAAAATTTTAGACATAGTTTAGGCCTTTTTTTTTTACTTGCTTTACCATTTGTCATCAGAGAATATAAAACTTAATCAACTGGAAAACTGGGGCAACTGCTAAGTGTGAGAGCTGCAGCAGGGCCAGTAGAGAAACAGGTCAGTAATCAGTAATCTACAGCAACTTCCTTTACCTAGCATCTTTTATTTGATTTCTGACTCCAGTTATTCCTGAGGTTGCCCACGTGATCACTCACAGAGTTGCTGGCTGATGATTTCATATTAAAATCCAAGGGTGGGGAGGAAAGGGAACGTTGTATCAGCCAGCTCCCAAGACAAACTAACACAAAAAACCTCACTCAAAGAACAGTTGGAGAAATTAAACAGATTCATCATGAGTTTCTGATGTTTCACAACTTAATTTAAAATAAAAAAATGATTTTATTTTCAATGAAATATTTCTAAACCCTGGCAGCACAATCGTTTTTTTTTTTTTTCCTGGTATGTGCCAGGCTTTATTTTACAAAGAGTTGATTAAAATAAGCAAACATTACATCAGCTTTTACAGCCTTTCCCTTTGAGGAGCTGCTGCTCTAAATTTGAAATATAATGCTACAAGTGTTCCAGGAAAGTCATTCCACAGAGCAGTTTAGGACTAAGAAAACCCCACGATGTCATGGAACAGAGCATTGGAACCTTTCCAGCATGGCTCTACTAGACAGTACAGCACATACTGGCATGATCCCAACACTATTTTTCAGCACTGCATCACAAATTCCTGCTTTCAAGTCTTATTTTGTGCACCCCAGCAGGCTGCCAAGGTGCATCTTCCATAGAAAAACTCTAGGTTAGGGTTGGTTGCTTGGAAGCTGATTCACCTTAAGAAAGCTGGTATGGGGTAGAAGCCCTTTGTTGGTATGGGGTAGAGCCCCTTCCTCTCAGGAGAGCTGGGTGAGGAGAGCAAGGATGCAAATGACAGATACTAAATCCTGTAAGTGTCACCAGATCTGGAACACCAAGGCCAAATCTTCTGTTGTTCAGTGACACTTCAAAGGCTCATCAGGTGAATGTAAGAAAGGCTGTGGCTTCTCCTCACAACTCCAGCATCAGGCTTGGGTAACCAGCTGGCATCTACAGGCTGGTCTATTGGAAACTGGACAAACTTGCACTGACACATTTTGTGAAGATAAATTACAAGTAGGCCATAAAGAAATAAGATCTTAGTTAAGCCCTGGGCCATCGCTCTGACACTGTGCCCTGTTCCTGGGCTTGGCTCTGCTCTCAGTGCAAGGGTCACACTCTCTCTGCTCACCTTCCTCCCCCTCTGCTCCAGCAGAACACCCTCAGAGGACTCTGCAAGAGCCAAGCCCCAAGCCCCAGCTCACCTGTGTGCAGCGAGAGGTGCCGGGACAGGGTCTGCTGTCGACCAAACACTTTTCCACACACGTCACAGGGAAAATTCCATGCTGGCAATCCATTTCCCACCTCCAGCCCCAGCTTTTCTGCTTCTATGCCAAAAAAACACAAACAGAAAACCGTATTTGAAGACTTGCAGAACTCATTCAGGAGAGTCCTGTGGTTGTCCTATAGAATATAACCTCTTGCCTGCGTGCTGTGGGATCTGCTACATGAGTTCATGTGAAAAGGAAACTCCCAATGATGGAAAGGAAATTAATCTTTCATACATACTCTAAAGCAGAACACTTAGTCACAAAGTGTTCTAGACAGAGCCATGGCCAAAGAGTTAAAGCAGGTGATGTAAAGAGAGCAGGGCAAAGCACTGACCTCTAATTCTGGTCACCACTCCTTTGGCTCTTTCAACCACCCAGCTTTGCCTGGTGCATGAAGAAGGCCTTGTCTTAGTGGTGTGTCCTACACTGGATGATTATTCATGACACAGTGCTCTGTCCTACACTGGATGATTATTCATGACTGAGGGAAGATTTCCAAACCTTTTTTTGCTGATTGCAGGAATTTTTGCTACATGAGTCCTCTTACACTGGAGAACAGAAGGTTGCTCAGACAGACATTAAGCCAAGAGGATGCAGCACGCCAATGAGTGGGTGGCCTCAGGCA